ACAGCCATGGAGGCAGCCGGTAAGAGGCAGAGGCACCTACAGGAATTCCAAACAGCTGGACACCAGCTAAACCTACCGCAGACCCTGACAGAGCAGACCTAGATAGACAGAGGAGCAGCCCGTGTTGCCCCGCAGCAGGGCAGTGCCCGGGCTGTGCAGCAGCGGTGGATTTGTTTCTTTCATGTTTTAAAATAGGATTTAAAAACTCACGTGAAGTTTTTTTATTTCTTCTTTCTTTTTTTGGTTGTTTTTTTATTTTTACCTTTTTTCTTTTTTTTACATTCTGAAAAAGACCTGTTATGTATGAGTTATTTTGGGGATAAATTTTACAGGCCTCCAAAGGAGGATATAGGATCTGTACAGACTTATTGGTCAATTTAAGAAAAATATGAGAAACTACTAGAAATTTATGAGCAGAGGAGTGACATGATTTGACTTTGCTATAGGGCATGTGTGCTTACCAGAGAGACAGAGATAGAGAAATGTGAGTGCATGAACTTAAAAAAAAAAACTATACAAATAAAACTCACTCTAAAACAGTACCTTTTGACTATTTTACTATGTGGAAATAAACATGCCTGTTGTCCATAGAAATTTTTCCTGTATGACTTTCCTAGAGACCTGAAGAAGCCTCCTCATAAATAAAAAATAAAAATAAAGAAGCTAACGCTCTCGCTAACGCTAACACTATCGCTAACGCTAACACTATCGCAAACGCTATCACTATCGCAAACGCTATGGCTATTGCAAACGCAAAACGCTATAGCTAACGCTAAAGCTATCGCGAACGCTATCACTATCGCAAATGCTATCGCTAACACTAACGCAAACGCTATCGCTATAGCAAACGGTAGCGCTGACGCTAACGTTAATGCTAACGCTATCAAAGCGCTAACGCTACCAAAGTGCAAACGCTAACGCTAGTGCTAACGCTAACGTAAACACCACTAACGTAAACACCACTAACGTAAACACTAACGCTAGTGCTAACGCAAACGCAGGGCTGAATTGAGAAGGATTACGTGACTAGTGTGCTGGGCATTTGCTTTTCAACAATTTGAATAGCTGACATGTAAATATTTTCTCAAAAATATTTAAAACCATACAGTTTCTGCTGTTATAGAGTCACGCTCTATGATAAAGATTGAAAGATTGGAGGACATAAAAGTGATTAAAATAGTTACAGACGCAGGAGACCATGTGGAAGAAGGGTGGGAGAAGGAAAGATTACAAGGAAGGAAATCAGGGAGAAAAAATAGAGAGGTAAATTATCTTTATAAACCAAATTATGTATAGTGATCAAATGTTTTTAAAAAATTAATAATAATCATTAAAAATTTTTTAAAAGCAACTTAAATGATAAACTTTATCATTATTAGGAATTTTTTTTTTCCCCAAATGTTCTTGGGACCAGTAGATGGCATAGTGGTTAAGGTGCTGGACTCCCACATGGCGGACTATGATTCGAGTCCCAGACCTGGCAGCTTGCTTTCTTCCCCCACCCCTCACCCCGTTTCTCTCTGGTGAGTAGGCTTACCCTGTAGCAATTTTTTTAAAAATAAATAAATAAAACTAAATAATTCTTTGGGGAAAAATGTTCTCATCCTAATGCAGTTAAGTTTAGTGACAGTGTCAGAAAATATTCATTTTCCTCTCGAATACAGTAGGGAATGATTAAAATTTCATTTCTACCATTTCTTCCCATTTATTATACTTTGCAATACTGTTTTCAGTGTTTTACACATTTTAAAAGGCCACAGTTCTACAGCACACTTGAGAATAAGCTTCTCCAGCTATTTCTAGTTGTTTTCACATAAAAGCCTCTTCCACACACCTACACACCCTCCACTTCCAACATCAACTTCCATTTCTTGAGCGTCTGCTTGGTGTAGAGCCCCACATATCAGGAACTTGTTCAAACAGGGGAGATCCACATGCTAACGAGTGTGTGACCACCACCTTGATGGACCCAGCCCAGGAACACACAGGTACGAATTCTCTGGGCCTAGGGAAACCTTCCTGGAGCTGATGAAATGCAAATTGAGTTTGAAGGATGACCCGGAGTTTGCAGACCAACTAAGTGTGAGAAATGGAAAAGAGAGGCAGGGTGATCACTTTGCACTGCATTTCAAAGGGAAGAAAAGCAAGGATGGCTGAGATCAGGTCAGAGCAAGTCCCAAGTGTGGGGGAAGGCTGTGCAAACAGGGTGGACGTCCTACACAGGAGACTGTGGCTGGCGAGGCGGAGACAGGAGGGAACAGCTCGTGCAGGAAGACGCTGTGGCAGGCATGAAGGAGGAGCCCCCCATACTGGCCCACTTGAAGTAGAAAAGCCAAAAGAAAAAAGTTATTGGAAAAAAGAGAAAGATGTAAGAGCTGGCTCTATAGCCTAGTGGTAAAGGAAGCTGGATCACACATGGCCAACTGCAGTTTGAATCCCAGCTCCGGTGGCTTGAAAAACACAGCAGGTGTGTGTATGTGTCCAAAACTGCGATGGGATGGAAAAATGGAAGAAAAAGGATTGTGGCTTGGCCGTCTGCCCCACTCCGGCAGTCAGTCCATCTCTCTGTTGAGCGCATGTGCCATCTGGCAATTAAAAAAATAAAAGTTTTAAAAAGAAGATAGCTATAGAGAGTATATAGATAGATAAAGATCAGTACAGATAGATATAAACAAGGTAGACATGACATATACATTACATCTACATAAACTATATGATACTTGGTTCTGGAAGAAGTGTCCGTGGAATGACTGTTTAAACACATGAAACAATCGATGCTGGTGACTTTTCCTTTCCACCTCGAAATCCCACCACCGAGGACTCACTCTGTCGCTGGACGAAGGTGTGAGGAGGGAACTGGTGCCTGCACCCCGAGTGGACTGAAGGGGAGAATTTCTCTTCCATTTTACTTAATTATTTTAATTTTTAAAACTGCGCTGGTCAGGGAAAGACAGCAAAATGGGGGGGGGTGGAGCACCCCTCGAGGAGGCGTGGTCCTGCCCCCGTCCCTTTTCCATTTCTCTATCCGGTTGGGATTTGGGGCACCACCCACACGTGCCCAGTGCATCTCTTCGGCTGCCCTAGTTGGGACTCAAACCAAGGTGGCCATGTTGGATTCGGCTCCTTAACATCTAAGCCATGGGGTCGGCCCAGAAACTCCCTTCTAGAAGCCGCTGCACACGCACCCACTCCTCCACAGCAGCAGCGCCCTCAGGGCTGGGAATGTTTACATGGGCCCCGAGTACTCTGGGACTCCCTGGCTGTGGTCTAGGACAGTGTTTCCAAAGCCATCTCCAGTAGCAAAATCCCTTCAGTAGCTTCACGAAGTGAGGGGCACAGAATGCTTCTTGAAGCCGCGGAAGGAACGCCTGCACAAAGTCAGCGCCGGCAGCAGTGGCACATCCAGGGAGTGAGATCACCCCTCCTTCCAACCCCTTATTTCACTCTGTCGTCCCACTCTTCCCTCGGATGGCTTTTCCCAGGAGCATCTCTGGGCACCTGTCGCCTGTGAAGAAGAACCAGACAGCTCCCGCCGCACCGAGCCCCAGCCCCACTTACGCTCTTTGCCCAGGAAGAAGGAATAGAAGCAGAGGTGATTGATGCTGAGGTACAGCCAGCCCTGGCGGGGCACCCTGCCCTTCCAGCAGCAGCAGGAGTAGTAGGTGACCAGCTTCTCGGCCTCGGGGAAGCTGAACCTGGCCTCGAACTTCACCAGGGCTTCTCGGAACTTCTCGGGCTCCTCCTCCTGCTCCGCCAGCCTGCTGCTGGTCTCCTCTGCGATCAGAGCCTGACACAGAGAAATGACGTCCCTTGTTCAATGTGCAGGCCAGGGCAGGGGAGGGGGAGAGGGGCAGGGGAGGAAGGACGGGCGAGGTCAGGCCCCCCCCAGGGCCGTGCTGCTTCGGTAGGACACACTGAGGGGGCTTGGCCGCATGGCCCATCTGCGCCCAGAAATGCCATAGCAGAAACCAAAGTACAACGAAGTAAGAAAACTCGTGAGTTTCTGGCTCAGCCACTCTCCACCCAGGAGACTGTGAATCATTTGACTTTTATATTTTTATTTATTTTTATTTGCCAAAGAGCATGTGTGCTCACAAGAGAGAGATGGAGAGAGAGAAAGCATCCCCAGTGGAGCGTGACCATGCCACCATCCCTCCTCCAGCTCTCCAGCCTGTGGGATTTAAGGGGCTCATGCACACACCAGCATGTTTTTTAAGCCACTGGGGTCATGATTTGAGCCAAGTGGTCAGCCATGTGGGACCCAGCTCTTTAACCGCTAGGCCATGTCTGGCTCCAAACCATCTGACTTTTGTTTGTTTGTTTGTTTAAAGAGATTTTTGCTATTAGGGTGTGTGCATTTGCCAGACAGAGAGGCGGAAAGCGAGAAATCACCATCCCACCAATGGGGTAGCCATGCTGCAATCCCTTCTCCATTCTCTTCTCAGAACTTTGGACCCTCACGCACACACATGCGTGAGCGCGCACATACACACACACACACCTGGCATGAGTTTTGAGCTAACAAGTCCGGGACTCATCGGAGTCAGCACCTTAACCACCACACCACCTGCTGGACCCCAAACCATTTGACATCTAAGGTCCAGTTCTTAAACAAATCATTATTTCACAAGTGCCCGCGTTCTTCCCTATAGGGACAGGAGGCTTGACGACTGGCTCTGGGCCTATGAAGTCACTGCGTCAGTCCTAAAAGATTTACTCCCAAGTGTAAGTGAGAAACAAGTCTTCTTAAGAAAACTGAGTATCTTCCTCCTTGGGTTCAAAAATACTGGCACAAAGGTAACAGCTGGGCCAAACAGCAGCATGAAGGCAGGGTGTGTAGCTCTGTGAGGCTGACCCACGTCAGAAGCTTGCAGGTTCACATCGAGAACCCTCCCTGAACACACTGGGCACACACGCACCCATGATCTGGGCTGGCTGACGCCGAGGGTAGTCACGCCATGAGGACCCTGCTGAGGTACTTGTCATGGAAGAAATGCTGCCTGCCCATGTGACAACATCGAATGCACTTCATTGCCACTCTGTGCCCTTAGTCTTCAGTGGGAAGGTCCCAAGGTCACAGTGCCTCCCAAGCACGTGGGTCCCTGGAGAGAGGAGAGGAAGCAAAGCCCCCAGCTCTGCAAGTGTGTTAGCAACAGCCAGCACTGAGCGTCCTCCGGGGAGTGGGAGGGAAGTGCAGTGCTGCCCAGTCCTAGGGTCGTACACAAAGCCAACTGAGACCTTCCGATGTGTTCTCATTCTGCCTTGTGATGAGAGTCAGACGGTTCTCGCATCTGCTAGTTACGAAACCATGGTTCTACGACTCAGTTTCCTTACCTGTAAAAATACAACCAGTCTCACCGGGCTGTTCAGAGATGAAGTGATTTGCTGCGTAAAGTGCATAGAACACCGCTTTGAGCATTCGGTGTGCCCAGCAGGGCCAGCTCTATAGCCTAGTGCTTAAGGGACCCAGATCACACACTGTTGACTACGGTCTGAATCCCGGCCCTGGTGGTTTGAAGATCATGCCAGGTGCGTGTGTGTGTGCGTGTGTGTGTTTGTGTGTGTGTGTGTATGTGTGCACTTGAAATCCTGACGGGATAGAGAAATGAAGGCAAAGGGATTGTGGTGTAACACACCTCCTCAGGGGTTGCTTTGTCCCTATCTCTCTCTCTCTGTGTCTCTTTCTCTCTCTGGCAAGCAAACACATTGTCTGACAATTTAAAAATACTGTCCAGTAAATCAGTAATCCTTATTATGGTTACTTTTAAGTTTGTTTATCTCTTTCATTAGCAAGAGAGAGACAGACAGAGAGACGGCACCTCCAACAAGGTCCTGATGCCGCTGTCCACCCCACCCTCAGAAAGCCCCAGGTCAGGAGCACACAAGCCCAGCATCCTCAGGGATGTCCCTGAACACAGACCAGAACTCCACATGGGTCAGCCTCACAGAGCAACGCGTTTTGTTTTAAGTGTTATGCCAGCACCCAGCCCCACCACGATTACTGCGAAGTTGTGTCTCACCACTATTCCTGCGAAGTTGCAGACCAGACAAAGCTAGCGAGGACCACAGGTAAAGCTCACATTCTCCACCTCGAGAGAACAGGAGCTGCCACTCAAGCCCAGGAAGAGTCCTGGCTTGGATGAGCACAATGACCTACTGGCTGGGGACCCACAGCTGCAGAGAACTAAACAGAAGGTCCATGGAGAGTTTCATCCAGTTTCAAGGATTCTGGATCAACCTGGATCTTCCAGATCTTCCAGAATGACTCTCCATGGAGGTGGCCAGCCTCAACTGGAAGTTCTGATACAGCCCTATCACGGAGTTGTACGTACAGTCCAGAGATGCCCAGGGGAGTTTAATTCAAGCCTATTTCTCAGCATCATGTCCTACTCTGATTAGAACACGGGAACCCACAGATGGCATGATGCTTATGCCACCGGACTATCACACAGTTGACCGCAGTTCGAGTCCTGGATCTGGTGACTTAGAACTCATGCCGGGCATGTGTGTGTGTGCATGTCCAAAGTCCCAAGAGGAGAATGGAGAAGGGATTGCAGCATGGCCATCCCCCCCCAGGGGGTGATTTCTCACTTTCTGTCTCTCTGTCTCTCCAATGAGCACAAATGAATCACAGTACATCCGACAAGGAGGGACACTCCGTGAGCAGGGACTTCTGTTCTGCTCCACTGAATCCCTGCTGTGACACACAGCACAGGGAGACATTGGGGTGAGTGAGTGGGGAAAATACCCAGGAAGAGGATTTCTCAGCCCCAGAGAGACCTGACCCAAGGGACAGAGCCGCCGCTGGTCAGAGCAGGACAAGAAGAGACCCATGAGCTGGAAGTGTTTCCCCACAGTCCAGGCCACCCCCCAACCCCACAAGCTTGGGGTAACAGCAGTAGGACATCAGCCAACCTCCTCAGGAAGCCTTTTGCTTTTTTTTTTTTTTTTTATGATAAACAGCATATGCAGGAGACAGAGGAAGAGCAAGACAGAGCAGCACTGTCCACAGGGGCTGGTCACACCCAATCCTCTCTCCAGCCCTCTAGCTCCTTAGGATTCCAGGCCCCCGAGCGTGCACCCACACGTGGGCACCATGTGTCTTCAGCCAGTCCAGGGTCTGAACCTGCAGTCGGCCATGCGCGCTCCCGCATGGCGGTCCAAAACCCTGTGGACTGCGCCGCCTAGGCTGGGCCGGCCTATGCTTCTTCTCCTGATCCTGCAAGGATTTCCAAAGGAAATGAGGACTTCCACTTTGCTCCTCTACAATGGAAAATTCACTCTGGCACCGTCTACTGCAAGCCTAGATGGAAACTTAAGTGTTTTATAGAAAACAAACAGAATCAATGGTCTGGGATGTTGACCCTGAGGGAGGCAGACTGTACCCGAGGCTAATGCGCTGAAGTGTCTCATGAGAGAGTTCTGTTTAGACGGAGAAACCATCTCTCCCTGCCCGATAGGGCCTTCACACCAATTATCCACCATATTACTGCGACGAGCCCCGTTATGTAAGACTAACATGCGGGAGGTTATCAACAGAGAGCACCCAAAATAATCCTCTCTTGCCGATTCAAAATTGAATTGGCTTTAATTCTACTTAATTTACATAGTTTAAGAATAAACATCCACTTTTAGCAGGAAGAAAGTGCTTGGTCCAACAAAATAGACTGACAAGCTGTCACAGCTGCAAAAAGTGGGGAATGACTTCTTTAAGGAGTCCGATAATGCGCTGCTCTGCAAAAGCATACATTTCAGCACTATGGTTTTTCTCCCGAGACGAAAAGGGGCCCTCAGTTCTGTACAGAATAATAAACACAAAGGCTGAGAACCAAGTCTCTTCTTTTTCATGTCAGGTACATTTTGGGGGGCTGACTCTGCAAAGTTTGAGAGAGGTGGCAAGTGAAACTCACACGGCTTTATAGAATAAGTGCCAGAAAGTTCCATGACAGGAGAGAACACTGCTGGCATGCTGCAGTGCTCAAATGTTGTGAGCGAGGGGCCAGCAGGTGGCACGGTGGCTAAGGCACTGGGCTCCCACGTGGCCAACCACAGTCTGAGTCCTGGATCTGGTGGCTTGCTTTCTCACTTTCTCTCTCTTTCTCTGTCTCTCTGTCTCTAGCTCATGAGTGCATGTGCCCTATAGCAAATTAAAAACTAATAATAAATAAAATTAAATAATTTCCCCCCCCAAAAAAAGTCATAAGTGGGCTGGAAGGTGGCGCGGTGTTAACACAGCGCTACATGATGCGAAACTGGCGGGGAAGGTCCCGGTTCACATCCAGGGTCCTCCCTGTACACACTCACGCTGGCTGAGGCTGAACAGGGACTGCGCCAGGAAGACCTTGCTGAGGGCACCTCTCAATCTGTCTCTTGCAGAGGAAATAAACTTTTTTTCCCTAATGCTGTAAGGATGGGAAGATGGGGAGAAATATTAGGATCGAGGGACCTACCTTTACCTTCCCTTTGACAAAACTGGCAATGTCATCTTTATTATCAAAGACAGACAGAGTGTGGAGGAGGTTTTGTTCCAGCCAGTCCCAGTGCTGGTTGATTTCCTCCAACGTCGCACCTGGATTAGAACAGAAACACACAGACATTAACAAATGAGACAAAAGCAATTTCCAGAACATAGATTCACTTCCCAAGTATCATGTGGCCCCATGTCTGTATTATCGAACCACCCTGGCCTCTCGCACCCTGGGCTCCCTCGCGACAGCAAGGACCTGTGACACCCATCTCACTGCCTTATGGAGGGGCCAGCTGACCATGCAAGTTACCCTAAGACCGTTCTCTGTCCATCCTGGCCAATCCCTAATGCACGGGACACCCCCACACACACACACCATTTGTACTTATATAACTGAGCCAGGACAAAATAAGCCCCAAGGGCTAGACCAGTTCTGGACAGCCTCTCACAGCTTCCCCTCTGAGAACGAGTCCCTCCAGAGGCACTAAATTCAAGTTCACAAGGAAAGAGCCTCTTGGGAAGGCGCGGCTGACTGCCCAGGTGTTACCACTTGTAACTGGCATCATTACGCTCAGCAACAGCCCAGGAGTGGACGTGTTTGCAGATCCACACTTCACTTAATTTACAGTATCTCTTCAAAACATATATACAAAGAGGTATTAGAATACATGTTACAGCAAAACACAAAAGCATTACAGCTTATGTAGTAAGTTAGCTTCTTCCCAAGGCAACTAAAAGCTCTCAGCAACTCCGTTACAGGAAAGCGTAGTGGTTTAGTCATCCATATTCCTTCTCCAGGAGCCTCCTGGCCTCTCCACTGGACCATAGGTGCTGGACCGAGGGACCACAACCCCCCCGCTGCTGGCAAAGGGCCTGCCACGTAGCTGCTCAGCTCAGTCCTGGACAAGAAAAGCTCACGTGCAGCAGGGATGACTAGGAAAACCAGATTTCCAGAGGGAGCAGGAGATACCCAAACCCTTAAGAAATCAAGGGCTATCAGGAAAACAACTGTGCAAAATAATCTAGCCAGTGAGAGAGGCGTAATGCCGTGAGGCCACACCCCACTCACACGACAGCCACACGTGCCTGTGGTTACAGGGACCCTTGCTCTCTGTCTGGCGGTGTGTTCTCCCCGGAGCACAAACGCCTGTGAGGATCTTCCACCTACCCCATGCAAGACGGTGCCAGGGGACCCACCCTGCACCCGTGGCTCTGGGCTCTGTGGGTATGAGGAAAATCTGTACGAGCACTGCTATTCTGAGGGGCAGCTCGGGGAAGAATAAAGAGAAGCACCTACCAGAATACTTCATAAAAAAATGAGTTAAAAACAACGACACTTGGGCCAGCCAGGGGCACGATGGTTAAGGTGACTGGATTGCATTGATCTGTAATGAAGACTGAAGGAGGAAGTGGAGCCTCGAATACAGTCCAAGGTCATATCACAACTGAAGGGCAGCCTGGGATATGAACTGACTCTCCGCAACCTTGAGACGCCCTGGGGTCCTCCCAGAAGAAGCTACATTTGCATCTTCAGACTCATTTCCATCCTCCTTAGCTCCATGACTGGGCACGGCTAGACACTAAGGGCTACCTTGTGCTGGCACCTGGGACAAGCTCGCTCCCTGTAATCCCATCTACACAGATACATCTTCCTGTATGCTATGGAATAGGCTTTCCCTCACCTGCTATTGAAGCCAACACATTGAACTGGTAACAGCTACCTGATAACTTTAGACACCCAGGAATAAAATTATAATCAGCAGGTGGCGTGGAGGTTAAGGTGGCCGGATGCCACATGGCTAACCACAGTTCGAGTCATGGGCCCCGAAGCTTGAAAATCATGCCATGTGTGTGTGCAAAAATCCCAAGAGGAGACTGGAGGAAAAGGGACTGTGGAGTGGTCATCCCCCCTCGAGGGGCGGGGGGAGGTGACCTCTCTCTCTCTCTCTCTGGCAAGTGCCTGTGCCCACCAGCAAAACTTAAATAAATAAATAAATAAATAAATAAATAGTTGAATAATTATAGGAGCCCTGACACCGTGTATCACCATGTGGTTAAGACTAAGCCATCAAAACTAGGCTTTTATTCTTTCAAACATCTCCCATGTACTGGGAACCAACTTAGGGTAGAGAAAGAATCCTCAAACAAAATCAGAACCACATCTTGAAAGAGAAAATAAACCTCATTAGGAATCCACCCCGAGCTGCAGTTAGTTTTATTACCTTCTCCCTGCTCCTGAACATCAGACATAGCTGCTCGCCTCTCCCAGCAAAGACAATCAATATGATGAAACTTTTCCACCCCACTGCCTTCCATTTCCTACAGAAGTTGCCAAGTGGCAGGGAAACTTTCCAAGCTATAATTTCCTCTGCAGGGAAGTCTTATGATGGGCTTCCCAAATACCATAAATCAATGCAAGCTGACTGCACATCCATGACCCCGAAGGATGAGAAAGGAAAGTAACTCAACATATGTCACACGCCACAGCTCTAGGATGACACGACAGCAATGTTTTTCCAATTACACGAAGCAGCCCATCTGAAAATAGCTTAAACACACACACACACGCACACGCACACACGGAAGCAGAATAGAAAATAAAATACACTCCACTTTGTAAGGGAGCTACTGACTTGTGAAATACATGTTAGAGCTAAGCACACACACATATTTCTGTCTGTAGGTCATGGTCAAAAAAGTTTGCAGTCCACTGCATTATAGAAGACAAGTGGTGAGAGGGTAAAGGAGAAAAAATAAGAAAGCAAGAATCGACCATCCATTGCAGAAGCAGGAGGATGAAAAGCCTGCAAGCAGACCCAGTGCTATACAGTGAGCCCACTGGCTCCTGCAGGGCTTCCAAAGCCAAGACAGAGGGGAACTGTTGTTACAGCTGTTAGCCTGGTTTTGGTCTCCCCAAAATTCATATGAGGAAGCTCTAACCCCCAATGCGACTGGGTCTAGAGATTTTTAAAAAATTATTTATTGCGATGTTCAAGCCACCAGGACTGGAACTTGGTTGGCCATGTAGGATCCTAGAGCCTTATAAATACCACCCCACCCGCTGGCCCCAAGATGGGGCTTTTAAGAAGGTAAAGTTAAATGAGGCCATTAGAGTGCATGCCTAATCCCTTTTGGGATTTTGGGCATCCACACACACGCACCTGGCGTGTTTGTCAGGCTGCTGAGTCTGGGACTTAAGCCATGGTCAGCCATGTAGGATCCAGTTAACCACCATGCCACCTGCTGGCCCTTCTTTTCTTTGTTTACATTTATTTATTTCATGAAAAAGAGAGAGAGAGAAGCACCCTCAACAGGGTCTCTTGCCACAATCCACCTCCTACTCCTCCCTGGAGCCAGGGTCATGGGCACCTGCATGCACCTGGTGTGGACAGGTCAACCCAGGAACCGAACCCAGATCCTTGATGTGGCTTCCAACATTACAAAACAGTGCCCTGCCATTGTGCCACTGCAGGTGAAGAAGTAAAGACAAGCTGAAGGCTGGCTCCTCTGACTCCGAAGGCTTCTTCTGCCATGACATCACCATGGGTGGGGAGCTCCCCCCAGCAGCTGAGTCACACTGAAGCTCACACACAATATTTATTCCCCTAGGTTTTCCCCAGAGGTACTTTCAGGAAATAAAACAAGCATCTCATTGTCTTTACCTACAGCTTCTGCACGAACACAGCCACAAATGGCGTGATCTAAACTTCGGTTTTAAAAAGCAACTGCTTCTCTCTGCACAAGAAATAGCATGCCGCAGAATTAAGTGCCTCCTCCAGCCACCTAAGGGCTCGTTTACAGAGCAATGGGTACTCGGTGGGCACAGTTCAGATCTGTTCCTTTGAAATGGCAAAACGTTTCTCTACAAACCAAACACTGTCTACTGTCTAAATGCCTGGACTAAAAACCACACAGATGGCAAAAGTTCCAGTTACAAGTCTAACTGTCACAGGAGCAGATGGTGGCACGGCAGTAACGCAATGCTCAGCAAGGCTGACCCACATGGGAGGGTTCCAGGGTCACGTCTGAAAATCTGCGTGCATGCCCATAATCTGTGGCAGGCCAGGGCTGCCATAGCATCAAGACCTTGTGGAGGTGCCCTCTCTGTCTTCTTCTTTCTCTCTAACTCACGGAAGAAAGAAAGGGATGAGCATTTTCTTCCTTTCTTTTTATTTATTTATTTAGTTAGTTAATTTTTGCTATACGGCATGTACATGTCACCAGAGGCAGATAAAGACAGACAGAAAGTAAAAAATCAGCCCCCAGGGGTACGGCTATGCCGCAATCCCTTCTCCTCCATTCTCCTTTTAGGATTTTGGGTACGCACACACACATGTCTGGCATGTTTTTCGAGATGCCAGGTCAGGAAATCAAGCTGCTCAGTTGGGAGAAGGGACTGTGGCATGCCACCCCCCAGCGGAGTGATTTCTCACTTTCCCTCTCCCTGTCCCTCCTCAGTGAGTGCACATGCTCTATGGCAAAAACCTTTAAAAAAAAAAAAAAAAGTATTTACAGTGAGTGGAAAGCAAACTCAATCTCTCTGACATCGAAAGTAAAATAAATTTTTAAATTTATAATTAATAATCATTAAAATGCCCTTGAATTAGTACTTCTTAGACACACTTCTCAGAAACAGGCAGAATTATGAGGGGGTCTTCAAAACATTCTTGGGAAATGGCATTATGCATGGAAGTCATTCTTTTTTTGCACCAAAATAAATTTGCACTTGAACTCCACTTTCCCATAAACTTTCTGAAGTCCTCTTACAGAAGTAAAGATGCAGAAAATTTCACCTGTAACTACTTGAAAAATATCATTCGATAAAAAAAATCCAAAAAGACACAGAATCAGTAGGCAAGGACATAAAATAGTGATTGTAAGTTTACTCCATATGTTCAAGTAGAGAAAGACCTGAGCCTGGTGAAAAGCTAAATGGAAGATTAAAAAAAAAAAAAAAAAAAGGACACAAACTTTCAGAGATCAAAAATATATGAAAAGTATATTGAAATGCAACACATGAGGAAATACATGAAAAATATCTGAGATAAGAAATGTACTAGATGAGACTAAAAGTACAGTAGAAGACAAAATTCCTGTTTCGG